AGTAGTAGTAGTAGTAGTAGTAGTAGTAGTAGTAGTAGTAGTAGTAGATGGCTCATGCCAAAAGAATGTGCTTTGTAATAATAGAAACACCAATGTGATGAGACATCAGCCCACAGGTGACCTGGGTGTAGCTCCCTGGCAATTGAGGCTACACTGTGAGTACCACTGACTGTCAGTTCTATTAAAAAGGCTTAGCGCTTTCTTGTCATTGTGTCTGTGGGCCCCTTTTCTGAAAGGTGCAGATAGAAAGCCTTTTGTTCTTAGTGTTTGGAGACCTCTCACCTCCTTGGCGTTTAACACCAGTTGTAGTTTGGTGTCTTTAGTAACTCTGAATTGGTTTTAGTTTTATGGTTGAAAGTACTATGTTGTTTTTTAACACTTGTTTCTTCTTTTTAGGGAAAAATTAGAAGAGAAAGCCAAATTGTATGAACAGATGACTAAAGGAGACTTCTTAGGTGAATAACTGAGAGATGTTGATGTGTTTCTAATTGTGTCTTTACACTTAGAACCCTATTGAATTATGTATTTTGTTTTTCAGCAACAGTTACAATGGGAAGAAAGCTGCCAAATGTTCATAAATCCAGTTGACTTGTGTTATTTGCTTTCTTCTACACATACATAGCAGAAAAGGAATTGAATCAAATCATCAATATTTATTGAGAATCAGAGCTCAATAAATATTGATGATTTGATTCAGTTCCTTTTCTGCTATGTATGTGCAGGTACAATCAATCAGTAAGTACCTACTATGTGCCAGGCACTGTGATGGGAACTGGGGGACACGAGTCCAAAGAAGAAAACAGTCCTGGCTCTGACAGGAGCTTCCATTCTGTGCCAGGCACTGTGTCAAATTCTGAGAAGGTTTTGGTGCAGGGCTTCTGTTGGCCTATATCTCTCCTAGCCCTTTGCATTATTCACAGTAGTCTTTGAATAAATATTTATTGAGTGATTAGGTAGTATTCCTGTGGCTCTTTTTTTAAACCTTAAATTCAGTATAGAAAAATCTCCCATAAAACAGTTTAATGACTTTGTTTATAAAATAAGGTCCACCACATACCAAGTGACATGATTCTTCCCACTCACATCAAAAATGTCTTGCGCAGACATTATCGATCTCCCCTGGACGGGTGCTGTCCTGTATTGGTTTGTTTGTCATACGTAGAGAAAGGTAATTCTATTTTCTGCCCTCTGTCATTGGCCCAGTGTTTCTCTGAAAAACTTAACCATTATGTTCTCCAGCCAGTGACATTCTTACTGGGCATAGATCCCTCCAAGAGTCAATCTTCGTTGACAGGACAGTGGACAGCTGTGGAGTCTCGAAAGGCCTTTTCTTTGGTGCATTTTAAACATTTAGAAAAAAAATGGAATTGACAGTGAACAGTCAGCCTGTGTCTTTGTAAGAGCGCCCAAGGAGAGGTGAAGGAATTGTCTGATGAAGCCGTCATGGGAAATGTCAGCCACCGTGGAGAAGAAAGGGACTGTTTTGTATTGATTTCTTACTCAGTGTGTTCTTTGATGTCAGATATCTAAAGATTGATTTTTTTTTTCCTCTCAGATGAAGAAACAGAAGATATGTACCTGGTGGATTTCACACAGAAGATCATAGACAAACGAAGAGAAATGCAGGCCCTAAATCTGAACAAAGAATCTAAAAAGACTGCCAGAAAGGAGGAGGATGGAGACGAAGGTCTTTCTGAAGCCGATATCCCTCCTCCCCAAGATCCCAGTGAAGAATGGTTGGTAGTGTTTATGCATGCATGTCTCACTATGTCAGACCCACTTTTGCCCTTTCTTCTCATGATGTGCTGTCAGAACATCATGGCTTTCATTCTCATTGCTACATTACTCTCCCTTCTGAACTTTCTTCACCTTAGAATTCCTTTGTGAGTGAGTCTATCAGTCTAAGTGATATTAAGGCTAGAATGGGTTATTACAGAGCTAAATGTGCTTATTTATGATTGTCTTCTCCTTGTATCTATCCACAGCACTTTATATGACTTTCTGTAGCAGTTTAGCACCCAAAAAAATGTGTTTTGAAGAACAAAGCAAGTCCATAAGTGCTATTTGGTCACAACTGGACTGTTTCTTCTGCTGCAGATTAGGACTGATCATGCTGCTTTGTTTCTGTTCTTTATTAAGCTATCAGCATTAGCAGATATTTTGTCCAGAGAATGAATATGAATGCTAGCTGCAATAAATATTACCCAGTTATGAAGTATTCTGATATATATCAGTCCTTGTAGAAATTAAATGAAAGTTTTTTTTTTTTAAAACACAAACTTGAAAATGGATCAGAAACCATATTCTTTTTTTCTTGATAAAGTTAAGTTCACTTAGGTTTGTTTAAAAAAATAAAACTCCAATTCACATGAATGTAACCAGTTATCTCTTACTATTTAAATGATCCTGAATTTCACCTTCCTGGTGTTTTCCTTACATTGCTATAAAACACAATTTATTGTTTTGTCTCAGTGGGGATGTTGATGTTTCGAGGTACTTTGTCAGTTAAACTCCAGAAGACATTGTGTTTGCCTAAAGAGCTGCTAGGAGCAAGTGCACACTGTCCAACAAGAATTATAGAGGGGGGAACCCCAGCCTGGGGTACTGTCCTCTTTCTTGTCCACTTACTTAATCTTATTCTTTAATCCTCTTCCCTTGAAGCCCCCCAGAACCATCCTGCCCAGATCCATTTTCTGGTTCTCTTTGTCTCAGTGTCTGTCTCTGCCTCCCGGCCTCCATCCCTCTCTCCTCCTTCTCTTCTCTCGTGACTGACAGCATTCAACTGTACTAATACTCATTTCGTCCCTAGGTGTCTTAGTTGTCTTTTCACATGCATAGATTCATCTCCTCATTTAGATTATAAGCTTCCTGAGGACAGGAACAGTTTCCTATCTTCCTGTGCCCATCAGTACCTCTCATGATCAGGATTTGTTGATTGAACAGTTGGCTTAGCTGATAGTTATTAAACTTCTGTACTCCTGGAAACTTTGTTTCCCACAATTTCTTCAGCAGTGACATTCATCATGGAAACCTCATCTCTTTTGAAAGGTTTAATGCCATTGTGCTTTTATTAATGCCGTATGATCACAAGCAATTTTTCAGTGATCTGAAGAGTTTGGGGGACAATTGAAGGTGTCGCATGCCCCCATATGGTGAAAGGAGCTGCTTTACCAGCATTTCTTAATGCCTTTTTGTTTTTAAATTAAGCTCTAGCATTCTAATTGCTCATAAAAAGTACTCTGTAGTTAAGTTCCAGGTGGTGGATAATCTTTCAGCAGCGATACTGTAAATAATGATGAAGGCCATCTGGCGAGATCTTTTTTTTTTTTCTCCCTTTCAGTTTATTCATTAAAAGAGGAAATTGCTTAGACAGTTAGAGGTTTTATTTCTTGTAGTAATCAGCTTAGGACTGCAGTGATGAATTCCCAGGCATTCCGTTTTTAATTTCATTGTTTGAATATTAAGATCTCAATCTGTGTATTTGCTTTCAACATGTTTGGAAGAAAGAACATTTAAAGCATTCTGAGCTGCATGTCTGAGTATGCATATGGGCATGACTTTTTAATCAGTCAGTGAACCCACAAGTATTTATTGAGGTCTTGCCTGGTGTAATGGAAGAAGCCCAAGACTAGGTCTCAGAAGATGCAGATCCCGGTCCTGACTGTCCCCATCAGCTTTGTGACCTTCAACAAGCCACTGAACTTCTAGGCGTCCATTTCCTCCTTTGGAAATTGAGGAGATTGGACTAAAATGTGGTCACGAGGTGATCTCTACGGCCCTCCCAGCATTTACAGTCTGTAGTTCTGTACTGTGTCCCCAGCATTGTCCCAGCTACTCCTGGATGTGTAGGAATAGAGACTGACCTGGGATTTCATTGGAATCAAGGTGATGAAACTCCTTTTCCTGCTCTGAAACTTAAAGTTGTAGAGAGTTTCCTACAGCCCTGAGACGTGTTGGCCGGGGTAAAACGGCCAGTGTGTGTCTGAGGTGGGGCTTAAACCCAGATCTCCTTGGCTGTAACTGCTATTGTAGACGACCACTATGGTGTCTCTGCTGAGATGTAGAATACAGTTATCACATGAGATTAGGGAGGCAGCTTGGGGCAGGGGAAGGAACACCAGTTCTGGGGTTAAATCCCACCTCTGATAATTATCTGGGTGACCTGTGGCAAGTCACCTCAACTCCTTGGGCCCCAGTGTCCCTATCTGTAACATGAGGAAGATAGACCACATCGCCTCTCAGGTCCTGCCTGGCCCTGGGCCTGTGCTCCTAGAGAATCTTTGTCCTTAAGGAATTTACAGTCTTTTAAAATACTCTTTTTAATTCTGTCCATCACATCATGATACGTTTTCAGTGGAGGTCAGTTTGGGCTGGACTGGGCGTCAGGAGACCTGGATTCTGACACCAGCTCTGCCACTGACGGCTGTGTGGCTTTCGGCACGTCTTCTCGCTGAACCTCCCTTTCTTCATCGGTTAAATGAGAAAGTTTGACTTGGTGATCTCTTCAGATCAGCTTTGAAATTCTGTGTATCAATTTGCATTGGTCAAATTGTACAAAAAGAAAATTATCTGTTCTATTTTGCCTTATGTTTTTCCCTTCCGTAATCTTAAAAACTTGTAAAATTGGGCAAAAATAAAACAAAGGAGCCAGTTAAAGGGGGATGCAAGAGCTAGTTGTCCAGGAAGTTTTTACAGAGTGCTGTTTTTCAATGTCACAACTTAAAAATAATCATTTAAAAAAAAAAACCCTTACCTTGTAAAAATCAAAAAGTCTAAGGAGATAAGTGCTGCTTCAGAAATAATCATTAAATCCGCCTTTGTATAGCTATTTCATCTCTGTAAAACACTCCCCTCACAACAACCCTGTGCAGTTGATAATTCAAGTGTTATCCCCATTTAACAGATGGGGAAACAGCCTCTAAGAGATGCAGTGACTCCGATCTCCTGATTCCAACTCCAACTCTTTCCACTTTGGGGAAGAACAGGAATGAAAACTGGAATAAGCCGGTTGAAAATTTGGGGGATGTAGAATAAACTTAAACAAGCGAATATGACGTTGTTTAGGAAATTAATATCCCACTCTGGACTGTGCTCGAGCAGTCTTGAACTATGGCAGTCTTGGCTGGAAATCAGAGCTGCAGAAGACTTGATTCTATAAAATTTCCAAATGTGAGATTAGTATATAATAGATCTGTTGTGGGTCAATTTTAAGGTTTTTTGTTGTTTTTTTTTTTTAACTATTCTCTTCAATGGCTTGTAGTCCGTAAGTTAGAATGTTCTTTAGCCAGCTTTATTTTTCACCGGGCACTGACATCCTGCTTTAGGAAAGCATTTACCTGAGCTTGCACATCCTTCCAGTCATTTCTTTTTTCTCCTTTCAGGGTCGATTATGTGGATTCTTTAGGCCGTTCTAGACGCTGTATGAAGAAGGATTTGCCAGGCCTGTTGGAAATGGATAAAAATCTTAAGGGAAAGCCGTAAGTGTCCATGAAAGAACTCTAGACTGCCTTGGTGGTCCTGGCGTATAGATGAAGCTGTGTCGTAGTGGAGTGCTTCTGATGTTTCACTGGCCAGAGATCCTCCTTCAGCCTAACAGACCCACTGTACAGCGCACTCCACGCTAGAGCAATGCCGAGTGACCTTTGGTGGAGGAGGTACCCTCTGAGCCTTTGAAGGCTTCTCCTCTATGGGGCTTTCTGACCCCGGGCCCTCTGGGCTCCAAATCTGTGTCCTGCCTCATTAAGTCTATGATGATGTCTTCTCATAGAGTGCATGCCCTATTTTGTCACCTTTCCAAGTGAAATTCTTTCTGTGGTTCTCGTAATTTACCGTAAGAAAATGTTTCGGCTCTGAATTGTGGCACAGAAATGTTTCACACAACTCATATTTGAAGATGGTCTTGCTTGTTCTCTTATTTGTTTAACTAGATATGTTAGTGACAAAACTCTGTTGTCTGAAGATATGAGACGAGAGCTTCAGCGACAGCAGTGGGAGGAGGAAGAGAAGGAGGCCCTGAGCAGACCAGTAGGGCCCGTCCACTATGAGGACATTCGAGAAAATGGTAGCGTTGTTTTTACGGACATTTATCCTCTCAAGTTAAAGGTGGAGAATGGGATAGGGCTGGGCATGGGAGGGGGAGAAATTAGGGTGGATAAACAGCTGTAATGAGACAGCTAGTGTCCCGTTAGTTCACTTTTTTACCCTTAAAAAGTGATCAAGTAATTCTTTAAAAAATCTTCCAACCAGAAGAACCAGCCTGTGGACTTGTAGCCTAAGAGAAATGGGAAAGCTCCATAGCTGAAGATTAACACTTGGTCCATATTTTACCTCTTTGTTTTTGTCAAACGGTATTGATATTGGATATAAAATTTTATTTTATCCGTTTTTTGTCTTTACTTGGGCTCAGGTCTTTTTCTTTATGGCTTTATTAAGAAACTGAGTGTTCATGTAACTTGAACCTTTGTGTTAATCGAGGAAGCATGATCTCTTATTTGGTTTTTATTTATTTCAGAGGCCCGACAACTTGGTGTTGGATATTTTGCCTTTGCCCGAGATAAAGCACTGAGAAACAAGCAAATGGAGACTTTAGAAATGCTGCGAGAGCAGGTATGAGGTTCAGAGTAGACAGCCTGGTTTCTGTGGATGCATTTTTCCTTCTCATTTTGTTGTTGGGGAATAGCAGATGTCTAGTCAACTCAAAGAAAGAGCCAAGACTATGGATTTTCATTGCTTATGCAGTTACATGTTTAATGAGCACATAGGAAGCGTCCAACTTTTGTTAGCATCTTTGTGAAGAAAAGCAGTTTATACTTACCTAGAGGGTGCTTCAGAAGGAGCTGGATCAGCTTTGCTCTGCTCACCTTCTGAGCTGTAACGCCATGTGGTGCGGTACCACTTGTCCAGCTTCTAGCATGCTTGCATGGAAGTTTGAAATACGAAAATAACATGGACAGTCGTTTTCATTTGGAGACTTTAAAGGTGATGTGTAAAGCAGCCAGCTTGTTTGAGTTCATTTTTAGAATGTGATGTAAAGCTGGTGGGCAGTACTAGTGACGAGATGGGGGTCCAAGTGACAAGAGGCAGGCCGTTGCCAAAAGATGAAATTCAGTTGGGATAAGTGGCCAGCACCCCACTGGGGCTCAGAAAGGTAACTGTGTTAGTACAGGATGGCGAGGGCTCATTCAACACTAACTGCTCCCTCGAAAAAGTCCTGGGTACTGCAAGAAGGGAAGCCCCACAGCTGCTGCAGCCTTCGGATTCATTAGTCCAAGTGCCGTGTGCAGAGCTGAGTGGGTTCTTGGTGCCCTCGTAGCCAGCCCTCATCAGGAGTTCAGTACCATTCTGGGTTCTACACTTGAGGAAGGATGGGGAAAAACTGGAGAAGATCCAGAGGAGGATGACCAGGATGGTCTGGGGAGTAAAAGCCACACCGCACCCTACAAGGATCAGTTTTTAGAAACCTCAGGATATTTAGCTTAGGGCAGACAAGACCTAGCAGAACTGTGACAGCTCTTTTTAAATACTGGAAGGGGTGTGATAGGGTAGACTCAGAAGACTGGGTGCATATCCAAGCTGTGATACATCCTGGCTGTGTAGACATGAGAAAGTTGCTTAGACCCTCTCAGCCTCATTTGTCTCTGCTGTAAATGTGGATAATATTTGAACTACCAACCTTACGTGGTTGTTAAGAACAAAATACTTTATACATCATAGACGTTAATTGTCTGCCCCTTAGGAGATGATCGGGAACGGTGTGTAAAGACAGATTTCAATTTGATGTAAGGAAAAACTTCTTAGTAATTAAAGCTCTCCAGAGGGACACAGCTGTGTGTATACATGCACACAAATGTACATACACATGTCTGTGTGTGCAAATATGTATATGCACATTTATGTATACATACAGGCAGTTCTTGAGTTAAGTTAATGGGCCATTCTGCAGACCTCTACATAAAGCAATTTTTATGTAATGTGAATTTGCGTGTGGAGGTGGGGAAGGGAGGGAGGGAAAGTGGCAGGAAGAAAGGGGGTTCAAGGACATGTTGGGTCCGGAGACCCAGAAGTAAGAGCAGGAGGAGGAGCACATGGGGGCTGGGGCCAGCCATGTGGGGACCTGGCTGGAACCAAGAAGAAAACCACACAGGAGTAGACACATGGGGGCCAGACACAGACACAGACAGGAGAAGACAGGTGACATGGGGCCAGGGACAGACACATGGCACCCAGGCATTTGGGCAGGCGGAATGGGGCAAAGGTCCCTTCTCTCCCAGCCAGAGGTCTCAGGCCAAGCTCAGGATCCGGCATCACTGGCCGTCTTTCTGTGACCATTCTTCTGTTTCACTTGGAGGGTTGTTTGTTGTTGTTGTTTTTGGTGGCAGGGTAGGAGGCCACAGAGTGCCAAGCCAAGGGGCAGGAGCAGAGAGAGAGAGGGCATAGCACTGTATAGTAAAGTGTTCATTTTTAACCCAGGTGTTTTTTTTGGAATGAGGATTTCTTTCAGAATTCTGTACGTAACTTTGAAATTTGTGTGATGCAAATTTACAGAAAGTGAGAACCGTGTGCATAGGAGTTAATTCGCACGCGCGCACACACACACATACACATACACACACACACACACAGACACACAGACACACACACACACACACACACACACACACACACACACACACCCCCAGTAGAGGCCAGATGACCAAATGCTTGTTAAGGCTATTGTAAAGAAGAGATTTCTTTTCAGACACATGTTACATCCTAGATGACTTCTGTGGTCCCTTTGACTCTGAAATTTTCTGTTTTATATACCTTTGTATAGGCAGGTTGAGTATGTTGATGAATACGATGAGTTTGTGTGGTTTCAGTTCTTTTTAGAAATATTCAGAAGATGAAAACAATATTTCCTCTAATCATTTAAATGCAGACTTCATTTTTTTAACACTTTTTTTTACCCATGTGTTCAGACTACAGACCAAAGAACCAGACGGGAAAACATCAAAGAAAAGAGAAAGGCCCTGCTGGACGCCAGGCTTGCAAAACTGAGGCAGAGAAAGATGAAGAAGCTAAAGGGTGATGGGCCTGAAGAAGACAACCCAGGTACATCGCCCTCCATGTTTTTGAACTCTAACATGGAAAGTTTCAGTGTTTTATTGAAATGCCTGGTAAATGAAACTGCAGGCTGTGGTGTCTCTTTCTGAGGAAAGAAACAACTTTTTTTTTTAAGTAAATAATGCAAAATAAACAAACTTGAAGGTTTGTTTAAAAATCAAGTAAGAAGCGAAATATTCGCAAACGTAGCATTGAATCACTACCGGGAAAACTGACATTTTAAAAATAAGGAAATTTTAACAGTTAACATTCCTTTATAATCAACTCTAAAAACCAATTTGAGTTGTATACCCTTTAAATTTGTAATGGCAGCCTATATTTTGATTACTCCAATGTCAAATGGGAGTCATTTGTGATAGACTTTTTCTACTGTCACTTTAGTGTTAGATGGAGAGTGTGTGTGTGTGTGTGTGTGTGTGTGTACGTACGTACATATTTTGCTCTTATACAAGCTGAATGAATTCCATCCAGCTTGGACAAAGTTTGGGGAAATCTTAGGAACTTCAGTAGTTTTTCTGCATAGTAACAGTGACTCTGTCCCTAGGCAGACCAAGTTGTCCAAACTTTTAAGGCACTGTCTGTTTTACATACTGTTATGTTGGGCTCTGGCAAGGAGGCCCCACAATGTTGCTGCTACTCCGCCCTTTCTCCAAAGTGTAATAAATGAATCAAGTTAACCACAAGGGCCCCTTCTAGGGTCCTGTCCCTTTTGGCCCCTACCCTTATATCTTTAATTAAGAAAGGGGTAGAACCCAAAGCTGTTGGTGTCAATGAATAACTGGAAGGATTTCTGTTTTAGCTTTTAATCTTGACATTGGTATCTTTGTTTTTTGTCAACTTTTTTCCAAAGAGATGCATTCAAGCTGATGTAACTTAAATCTTATAATAATAGTGTACTTTCTACTTCCCACCCTGAACAGAAGAAGAAGTGATTGGGCCTCCCCCACCAGAACCGGAAGTGACTCCAGCTGCCCCACGGAGCAAAGTGGAAGTCATCATCCAGGAGAGAAAAGACACCAAGCCAGGCGTCCCTTACATCCGAGAGTGGGACAGAGGGAAAGGTGAGAAGGCTGCTCAGGGGATCGCACGCTCTGTGAGCCTCGTGCTGCGTCCCTGCGAGGGGGTTCTCGGGGGCATCTTGTTCCTGGCTGGGCCTTTCCAGAGGCTCCTGCAGCTGCTTTTGGGGAGCTTGGCTGAACCTGCAGCTTGCCTTCTGCTAATCTCAGTGAGCCCAGAGAGCTGGGAAACGAAGGCCAAAAAAAGAAGAAAAGGGAAGTGCCACGGAATTATGCCATCCCAAGAAGTCATTTTAGGAATCATGTAAAATTGTTCTAATTGCTGCTGCCCTCCCGTGGCAGCAGCTCAGCATAACAGTTGCCCAGGCCTTTCTGATTTTGTTCGCTGACCTTGGCTTTCTCTTGGAAGGCATCAGTGACAAGTTTAAGATTCCTGCTCATTCATGGGAACTTTGACTTCCTTTCCCTTTTTCTGTGGGAGCTTAACCCAGGCTGTGGGTCAAACTCTAGGGTGGCATTGCTTCCTGGTTGATGCCTCTGATCAGAACTACGTGTTAAGGCCCTGAGCCCGTGCAGTTTCCATTAGTGAGAGCCTAGACCATAATGGAAGAAACTATTAGGAATAAAAATGAAACCTCAGAATAGACCTGTGTGTAGCCTTCAAAATACTGCTTTGCTCACAGACAGAGTTTTAGCCAGAAGCACCTGCCTAAGAACAGTGACAGTACTTCAGTGCTTAAAGATTTTGATCTCTTCTTTGGAAGTGCATGGGAATTCCTTCCTGGCTTGTAGATGGTTTAATGAATTACTTTGGCTAGTCCTCTCTTGATCCTGTCTGGTCTTAGCTAGGTTGGTCCTCTCCCAACACTGGGCCCAACCTTGAAGTTCCTCTGCTTGATAGGGCTTACCAGATCTTAGGCTTCCTTGTCATGCTCTTCCACCATGGCCGTCTCTACACCATGATGAAGCATCGGTGTAGGATTTTGGTTGTCCGTGCAGATAATAATACTATACTTTTTTTAGGTGAGGCAATTGGGGTTAAGTGACTTGTCCAGGGTCACACAGCTAGTGAGTGTTATGTGTCTAAGGCTGGATTTGAACTCAGGTCCTCCTTACTCCAGAACCAGTGCTCTATCTACTGTGCCACCTAGCTGTCCCATTTTTTATTTTTTAATAACATTATTTTATCTTGTTAAGTCATTTCAGTCATGTCTGACTCTTCGTGACCCCATTTGGGATTTCTAGGCAAAGATACCAGAGCGGTTTGCCGTTTCCTTCTCTAGATGAGGAAACTGAGGCAAACAGGCTTAAGTAACTGTCTGAGGTCAAATTTGAACTCGGGTCTTCCTGACACCAGGCCCAGCACTCTATCCACTCTACCACCTAACTGCCCAAAATTATTTTACTAATATCTTTTGTTTATGCATCACCTTCATTTCCAAATATCCCTTCTCCAGCAATCTACCCCTTGTATCAAAGAGTGAAAAAAGAAAGAAAAAAACCTCAATTCTGCCAGACTAACACAGCAGCTGGTCTTAGAGCATTCTGCATTTCGTAGCCTTGTCTCCCACTCCTGGGGAGAAGGGAAATGGAAGGCCCGTCAGACTCCGAGCTCCCCAAGGGCAGGGGCTGCTGTTTCTTTGTCACCCCGTGCCTGGCACACAGCAGGCACTTCATAAATGCTTGTTGACTGACTCCTGTTTTCTCAGCTCTCTTCTGGACCTCTCGTGGCCCAGCATTCAGTTTCCTTGTTCTCTTTTCCTTCTTTCCATTTACATTGTTGCTGTCATGCGTCGGTCTTTCCGGTTCTGTTTACTTAGCTCTGCCTCAGTTCACACAAGTCTCTCCCTGCTCCTCTCACAACACCCCAGGTCTCTTACATTCATGGACCACAATTTGTTTAGCCAGCCCCCAGTTTGGGGGCGTCTGCTATGTTTATACTTTTGCTACTACAAAAAATGCTGCTATGAGTGTTTTGGCGCTTAGGAGACTTTTTTAAAAAATGTTTTTCTGACACCCTCTCCCCTCCTTGCTGGGGTGGATGCCTAGCGCCGGGATCTCTGGGTCAAAAGGTATGGATATTTTTATCTCTTTCTTAGCAGAGAGTCACTTTTCTTTAGTCATTCTTCTTAGCAAATTGTTTTCCAGAATAGTTGGAACAATTCACAGCTCCACCAGCAACGTAATTAGCATACCTGTCTTACGGCAGTCCGTCCAGCGATGATTATTCTGTTTTGTCATTTTTCTAAGTGTGAGGTGAAACCTCCAAGTACATAGGCCCTGGCACATAGTAGGTGCTTAATAAATACTGATTAAATGGCTGATAAGATCGCAGATCTAGAGGTTGAAGGGACCTCGGAAGCCTCGTTCTAGTCCGGCCCCCTCATTCTTGAGGGGAGGAAGCCGAGGCCCAGGGAGGTTGGTTAAGTGCCGAAGGTCACACAGGCAGGGGAGTGTCAGAAGTGGGGCTTGAACCCAGATTCTCTGATATCGGGGCAGGTTTTGCTTAGTTTTGCATTTCTCTCATCATTAATAATTTGGAACAGTCTCTCATCTTATTAATAGTTTGCATTTCTTTTGAATTATCTCTGTCTGTTGGGGATCCACTGGGCTCTTGGTGGTGCAGTACTTACCTGTACACCTTAGGTATCAGACCCTCACAGATAATTAAGGCAATGATTTTTTTCCCCAACCATTCCCTTTCTTATCTTAGCTTGCATTGATTTTTTTAAATGCAAAAGCTTTTTTTTAATTTCATATTTTCAAAATTATCTATTTTATTTTTTTGAGAATGTCTCTGTTCCTCAATTAAGATTTCTTGCAAGCCATGGCTGTGAAAGGGAGCGATCTGGTCCTTATAGTGTTTTAGTGAATACCTTACATTATTACAGTGACTTGCAGTTTATAAAAATGCTTTGTAATGCATAATCTGATTATACAAGTTATGTAAATTTCTGAATTCCAAAATTCCTTATCAAATATAAATAATTCCCTGTTGAGGTAAAGAATATTCCATGGTCTTTGGGGAGCGAAAGAACTCTAAAAGTTTTTTTTCTTTTTCCTATAGAATTTTCTTTTGGACACTGGTCAAAGAGGCAGTCAGATCTCAGGGCTGAAAGAGATCCCGAGTTTGCCCCACCATCGGATTACTTTTCCAGCCAGAAGAGGACTGGGCATGTCAGTGGCCAGACTTGGAGCCAATCTGGACCTTCACGCGACACCTCAGGATTTGGCTCTAGCCAGAACAACGAATCCTCCTCCACAACTACCACTGAGCGCCCGGCACGAGCCCCCAGCCCCCTTTACCAAAGTCTGGATGACATGCTGTCCTATTATAAGCAAGTGACATAAGCGGTCAAGTCCTTGGACAGTGGTTTCTGCTCTGCCCGCTCCCTCCTGTAGAGGAAGAACTTGATTTTAAGAACATTGATTTCCTCCTGCTTGGCCTTTCCATGGGAGGTGAGATCACCGTGTTGTCATTAAAGAACTCTAAGTCATCAGAATGCTGTTGCAAGGGAAGGGTCCAGCAGAATTGAGACCCTGGGAATTCTGCTGCTCCTGGGCTGGCCTGGTGTATCATTTTAGTTGGATTAAAGTCCTATTGGAATCATAATGGAAATATTCTTTCATATTTGAGATATCAGAACAAATTCTGACAGAAAAATCCCTATGCTTATTCCCATTGCTAATTATTCCAATTTTATCAGAGTCTAGATCATATATGATTATCTCAGAAAGATTTAGCTTCCAAATGAGTTGATGTAAATATGTTAAGGAGAATCTTCCCCGGAAATGCAATGATGAGTGAGGTGAGGCAGTGAGCGAATTCAGTACCCAATCAGACTGTCAGCCTGAAAGAATAAAGCTGCAAACTCTTAGGTGAAAGTAGAGCAGGCAAGTTGTCTAATTAGAGAGAAGCAGTCCTGTGTTGGGCCCACACAAGAGAGATCTGGGTTCAAGTCCAGCTTATGACAACCCTGGTCAGGTCACTGAGCCTCTTGGTGTCCAGGCATCTCTCTAGGATTACGTGTTACAGAGAAGCTGCCAGTCTGCTGTGGTCGAGGAGTTCCTAAGAAATGTTTCATTTTTATAAAATCTTAACTGATAGCAACTCATATAGATAGTATCTCATAGCAGCCGACCCTCAGTAGGTGTGTGCTGATGGAACAGTTTCTGGACTAGTCTGCCTGGTCGTAGAGCATCCAAAGAATAAGGCTTGCTCCTCATGGTTGTTGCTATCTCTTCATTATTAAGATATTAGGATTTATCCTCCTCCCCTCACCTGTCTGTCACCATCACTTAGGGTCTAGGTCACTGTGGGGAGCATGTAACAGCAAGGTCACTCCCTCTCTCTGCCCCAAAACGACAGTGTTTATTTGGGGGACTGACTCCAAACCGATGATTAGAAAATGCAGAGAGGCGACCATCTCTCCCATGAAGACCCTGCAGCCAATTCTCATTGCCCCCTACCCCAGCTTCAAGCAGCATGTCCGTGGAGGCGAATGTCCACCTTCTCGTGGAGGGAGGGGAGGGGAGTGGAAAGCAAAGCCAAAAGTCATGGTCCAGATAGCCAAAGTCTCTTCAGCTTCTTATGTACTAATCAAACCCTAAGAAAGGAGAATGAGTGGACTAGATGAACCCTTGGGCACCATACAATAAGTTCAAATAGAAAGGATGAAAACACCAACAGCACTGGACTTGAAGTCAGGACCCCAAGTTTGAATCTTGCCTCGGACACTAGCTGTGTGACCCTGGGCAACACTTAACCTCTGTTTGCCTCAGTTTCCTCATCTGTAAAATGATGATAGTAGCACCTACCTCACAAGGTTGTTGTGAGGATCACATGAGGTAATATGTAAAGTGCTTTGTAAACTTTAAAATGCCATATAAATGCTAGCTGTTGTTACATGTCTGTAAGCCAAATGATGGAGGTGATTGTGTTACCAAATATTTCTGTGTCCAAATGGATCCGTGATCTCATTGTTCCCTCCAGTGATATGGATCACAGCCTATCCTGGCCATCCTCCTCTGCGACTCCCTTCCACATCATCCCATGGCATCCACCCCTGGGAATCCAGTGAGTGTGGTAGCGGCCTCCCTCTATATTAAATTGGAGGGAAATAAATAGAATTCATGGGTAGAAGAGAGGTCAAACAGAAGAAAAAATGCAAAGGAAAATGCTAGCAATTAAAAGAAGAAAGAAAGAGGCTGGGGAGAAACAGTCAAAGAGGAAACAACAAAAGATAAGGAGACAAAATGAGGAGAGCAGACAAGTGTGTGAATGTGATTGAGTGGGCTAGTGAGAGGGTAGCATAGAGTGATTGATGAGGGCGAAAGGGAGAACGAAAAAATGAATAGGAGAAGGGAAGCAAAGAATGGAGGAGATAAGAGAACGGATGTCAGCAAAGCCGCCTCGGCTGCCCAGAGCTCTCCCCACAAGGACTCTCCCTATAAGTGTTTCTAGGAATTGTCTTTGTTAACACCCACAGCCTGGTGTGGTAGTCTGCCCACAGCCATGTGCTCAATGTCCACAAACTCTTCCCCATCACACCCATTCCTAAAACCCTATCTTCAATACAAATTCTGTTCAGTGTTCTGTATATTTTTCTTTTATGTCCAATCCCATTTCAGACCTTAATTCCTTAAAGTACCTGATAAAGAGGTTTTATTGTTACTTAACAGATATATTTTGTACTACAGTTTCCAGCAGATGGCATTAGAGTTCTGAAATTACACATCTGTACACTAAAAGATCTATTTTTATGTTCTTCTGTGATCAGATTATGTACATTTCTTCTGTTAGCAATTGGGGAAATTAGCCTATCAATTTCTTCTATGTATAAATTGAACACTGTAGACATTTTTAAGGCCTCTTAATCTTTGGGGACAAATAATTCAAATTCCTTCTATAGGAAAACATGGCTAAGACCATGTTTCTGCTGAACTTAACTGAAATATGTGTATGTATTGCCTGATAGAAATGTGTATATATATCTACATACACACATAGATATGCTTGTGTATGTGTATACACACCTGTGTATGTTTATACACATGCATATGTACATAGACATACCTATATATATTTTACACCATATATACATATATACCGTATATACATATATTTATACACTGGCACATATATGTACCTATTATACATATATTTATATACATATACATACATATATAGGCACATACGCACACATATATCCAGAAATTTGGAATGATTTGTTTTAATTTTGCTGTGAACTCAGTCTTCTCCAGACCTTTCTGTATTTTCATAAGATTTTGTTTGTTTTGGCTGAATTAATCATTCTGTTGCTTAAAATCCCCAGAGAAAGTTAAATTTTCATATCCAAGATTCCTGCCAAGTCTATCCCAGTGCCAGTCTTTCCATGAACCCACAGTCTCAGCGACAAAGGTATTCCCTCCATTGCGCCAAAGATATGGATGGATATATTTTTTTCTCTTTAGCATGCAAAGTACTGCTTGCTATGAGGTTTTAACCTGATTTTCTTGTGACATACAGATGAGAGAGTAGAATTTAGAATTTGGAACAGTAGTGTTTTTACTGGTCTTTACAGTTAAAACAAAAGAGAGGAGCCATATGCATTTACTTTCCTTCAGTGTCTTGAACTGAAATGGTATTTTAATCGAATCGTGAAATATTTTAGAGAGATAAGGTAAGTCATAATAATTGGTAAGGATTTCCCAAGATTCCAGAGACTATCAACAATAAAAGGTATTCATCAATGAAATTCGTTATTCTGCCCCATCTCCAGCTAGGAGACATTTTGTTTGTATAGGTTATTGAAATCTACCAAGGTTTCTTAGCGGGGAAATAATATAGCAGAACAAGACAATCAGCTAGGAAGACTGGGACATGGAAATAAATGAAATGTTATTGAAAACCTATGTAATCACGGGGCTTAATATTGATTCTGTATTTTAATAAGGCTAGAGTTGCATTCAGATACCTAGCAATCTGTCTGGTGACATGACCTACTAGCCCTTTCAGGAGCTGTCCAGAAATGCTGTTTCTGGTCATCTGCTCATATTTGGACAAATAGTGTTTGGCTGAAGATTCACTGACAGTTAAAACAGAAAATAGCTGTTTATTAGGGAGACATGGATGCTGGGAACCAGGAATGAAAAGAAGGTGCTTTTGTAAACAGTGGTTAGCAGACCCAGAGCTGTTCTCTAAAATGGTTTCATCTGAAGAGCTCCAGTTCTCAATGAATTTCTTCTTGAATTATTTTCCTACTTGCGGTCAGTCTGTCTGTCTTGATTTGCAATATCTCACACTTCCTGGATCCGGCTTTGGCCATTGCCTCTCGATTTCTTGGGATCTGAGTTCTGTGTGTCCCAAGGGACTCTTTCTTGAGCCCAAGGATAAATTCTTTGATCTGCTTTATAGTATGTTTTGTAATATATTAGATTGTGAGTTTCCCAAGAGCAGAAACTGCCTTGCTTTTCATCATATCTTCTTGGCAACTAGTCTAGAACAATGTCCCTCACAGAGTAAGTCCACATTTCTCTAGCACCTTAGGGGTTACCAAGGACTTTCTTCAGAGTTGAGGCTAGGTAGGACACATATGCTCTTATTATAGTAGAGGCTTAATAAATGAGGAGCTAAGTGTCTTTAGGTAGAGGCAAAAGACATAGGTGTATGGTCTAGTAAATAAACAGCGCGGGGGGCGGGCAGAGATCTGAATAAGATTGGGGAGGAGGTGTGTGAAAGATTTGTTAATTGTTTTCCAGAATTTGAAGGGCTATCAGATGGAGAAAGAGGGATTAGGCTTTTTTGCTTTGGCCCCAGAGAGCAGCTCAGGGAGCCCTTGGATGGAAGCTTGAGGGAGGCAAATTTAGGTTTGCTTGCTAATGATTATAGTTGTTGCTGCTGAGTCCTTTTATTATTTTTTTTTCTTATTTTCTTATTTTTTTTATTAATTAATTTAATTATTTTTAGTTTTCAATATTGACTTCCACAAGACATTGAGTTTCAAATTTTCTCCCCATCTCTCCCCTCCCTCTACTGATTCCTTTTAATTGTGTCCAACTCCATGACCCTATTTGGTGTTTTCTTGGCAAAGATACTGGAGTGGTTTGCCATTTCCTTCTCCAGCTTATTTTACAGATGAGGAAACTGAAGCAAACAGGGTTAAGTGACTGGCTAGTAAATGTCTGAGGCCAAATTTGAACTCAGGTCCTCCTGACTCCAGGACTGACGCTCTATCCACCGTGTCACCTAGCTGCCCCTTTGCTAATGATTCAAGCTATCTGAAAGCAGAAGGGCTACTTCTCGAAGAAGGAGGTTCCCCCTCACTGGGGAATCTTCAAGCACAGGCTGTGGATAGCCCCTTGTCAGCTGTGCTGTGAAGGAGCTTCTTGTTCGACTGAAATTGGACGAGACTGCTTCTGTGGTCCCTTCCAGTTCTTAAGAGTCTGTGATTCTGGCATGAAGTGTGTCCTACAGGGATGGTGCTGCTGTGCAATAATTCTGAACAAGAGTATTTGAGGAAATACATTTTAGTATTGAGGAGTGGAGGAGGAATCAGGAAACAAGAGGGGCCCATGTTCCAGGGGCAGAGAGTAGTTGGATGGAGCAGGGTA